TGCTACAACCTGCAAAGACAATGAGCTCAATTCTCGGTGATTTTTCCAGGGTGTGGTCCCTTGCTGTGTTTATTAAACCATATATCCACCTGAATGGGTATGGAGATCTCCTAGACAAGGGATGCACCTTAGTCTGCTGCCTAAATGAGAAATTTAGCAGGATGTCTTGAAATGAATTTTCAAAAACAGATGATTCTTGAGAAGAGAATCTTACTATTTTCCTGCCTGATTTATCCCCAGCTCTGCAAGGGAAGGCTGTAAATAACAGATACCCAATAAATTATTTTTGAGTGAATGGATCATTATGATCTACATGGTCTGCAGATGAAAATCAGAGCATCATTCCAATCCACTGAACCTACTTTCACCCATTGTGGATGACTCTGACCCTGCCATAAATTGCAGAAGTTACAACAGAGTGACTTTGACTGTCCTCGTGTTGCAGGTCCTACTTTATTGGATTGTCTGATTCCTATTTCTTTTCCACCTTAGAGGAGGGACTGACCCAAGGAATTGTTGGTCACTTAGGTGTCAAGAGCATGGAGCTGCCCTGAGCTTTGGAGTTTCTGTCCTCATTCTCCAGGCCTTGGCAGAGGATGGGCGCTACCTCATCAAAGGTCGGAGTCTTCTTTAGTAGCTGATGTTCAGTTAGGAATGTGGATCATGCACTCCAGTCATTCTTCAGGCGGTGGTCCTCAGCTTCTGGACCAGTGGAGAGTTTTGATCAGATTTGTGGGGTTCGAGGCTTTCAGTACGTGTTAAAGATGTCACACACAGGGTGACAATGCCAACTTCCCAACCAAACTTATCCATTCTGAGCATTTAATGCAGGATAGTTTCAGCATACCTTGAACACGTCTTCTATCCTGTGGTGCAGTGCTTTCCCAGATTTCCCCCAGTTTTAAGTGATGAGCAGCTTGTATTAAAGTAAGGTAAGCTTGGCAGCAGTGCTTCCTAACTCAGGAATGTGGGCTGAGTTGGACAGTGAAGACAGGTCAGAGCATCACTCACACCACTCCTTGAGGGGGATGATCTTTTTTTTTTTTTTTTTTACATCAGTTAATTATGTACTCATCTCGGA